CCCCGATCTCCCTTCTCGGAGACGCACAGTAAATTTAATTATATATATATATATATATATATATATATATATACTCATCTGCCGTCGCAGTATCTTATGCTTACTTAACCAAATAAACGAAACAGCGATAAGTAACGGTAACAAAATCTAGTTTCCGGGTGATTACGAGCTCGAGAATAGGAGTCCAACCCTCCTGCACCACAACATTCTGGCTCCCACCACTAACTGGATTCGTCCTTCGACATAGTTCCCACTCCGTTTCACATATACAGGATGATTATCGAAGCTTTGACAAGCACATCGTCTATATAGCCTTTTGAGGTTATGTTTACCCTGGTCATTAAATTGATCTGTATGACCGACTCTGCCCATACAGCTTTCGGACCTACGCGGTCTCGAAAACCACTGAGTGCCGACCACGGTTGGTCTGGGAAATGGACTCGGTAAGAGCCGAACGACAATGAAGTGTTTAGTGGTTCGTTTTTTCACACATGGCCCACTTTCCATCCCACAAGATTTGCAGTTGTGTGTTCGCATCGCAGAGATAAGGCCTGCGTCCGTTTTGATGATTGACTGAAGGGATGTTGCTCAAATCCGAATGGTTAATGGCCCACGGTTCTGCCAATTTGTGAAGAACTGGCCTTACCCTAGGTTTCGCGTTGCCTGGTAACTCCACAACGGACAGATCGACCATCGCTAGTGCCCAGTCGATGATGAGACGGTCGATGAACTAGTTGCAGGGAAGCCAAGAAACCAGCTACGGGCAGAAGGTAGACTACACATTCACATATTAGAAGGGCATATGGGCAGTGACCATCCACCCTTCCAACTAACATACTGGTACTCATTAATTCAGATAATATTGATCGAGTTGACTGTGCCAGCGAAACCAAGTACATCGATACAACAATAAAACACCTTGCGACAAGGGCTAATAAGAGTCTCCGCCTGGAAAACCGAAAGGTGAAAACAGAACATCCAATGGACGGCGGTCACAAGATAGACCAGGCGGCATTTTCTAAAGCCTCTTTACATCCAAGTGAGAACGCATGATGAACATTGCTAAACCTGTTGACAGTCATGGTTTCTATCCCTTTTCCGCAGAGAGGCAGCTTGTGAATAACAGCACGTCGGCCAGACATAAAAAACAACAGTTTTATTCGGGGGTTTTAATTCATCCACAGGTTTCATTCTGAGTCTGCCTGAAAGCAAAGGGCACGTAATCCTTTTTTGTTTGCACCACGGACTTTTACCAATTTGATTCATCAACTTCAATCATTCTAAATACTGACCGGTAGCAACAAACCAGGTAACTCATTTCGATCGTACTGATTTCCCAAATTTCTTGGGTTTTATCACACACTACTTGACCTCCCAAACTCCGCTATCATCTAAGCTTATTCTGTAGGCCTTCCGTCGTATCAAGGGAATAACTGAGATATTGTGACTGAAGTGTCTGAGGTCCACATAGCTTAGTTATTTAGAGTATATCCATCTATCCACTTCAGTTTGAAAAGGGGTTTTGAAGAACAGCAGGTCGCAGTTCATACAGTACCAGAAAAATCACCATAACTGGGCAACCAAGACATCTTATTGTATCCAGTTAGATGATACTAGCAATTACGCCGCCCGCAACAAACAATTACCTTAGGGTTACTGGAACCCCATCCGTGCTGTCCGCCCAAACTTGAGGCCAAATTCATGAGCGTGCTATCCAATGCGTCCAGCGGATTCTTGTTCTGCGATGAGGCTGGTGCTGCCGGGCGTATGGGAATAGTCGAGTCGACTTGTTTTAGACCTATAGAGAACGAGAGTTTTCGGCAGGTGACCCACAGCACACATGAAATCAAAGCACTTTTGTACAAACTTATACGTGAACGTTAGAACCAAAAACGACTTGCATGACATTAACGCTGAAGCCATAAAATAGAATAAACACTCTCAGAGAAGGAGTTACGTGGGATTCCAACTACTGGTGACCCAATAAGGGTGCTACACAGTGCTTCTAGGTTTTTCAGCATAAACTAGCTTCACATCAGAAATTCCCAAATATCCTCACACTACGAACAGCGTCATGGATTTTCTCTAGTCCTTTTTAACAGCATCTTCACAACAGATCAGAACTTATGACAAACTTTTGACACGGGTGTTGGAAGATTGGTTAAAGTTTGCACACTGTTCGATGCAGGGAGATTTCGTCCTAATACAACCAATACTCAGGTTTATCCTTGCAATGTACTATTCATAAGGTTGTTGAAAATCCGTCGACAGCCCACGACCGGTTTCGCCCTTCCTGGGGCTCATCAGGTAGGCGCAGTCCCCGGGTTTCCGTCAACCTTATGTTCTACTTGATACCAAATTGCACGAAATGAGCGAATATACACTCATTTGCAAACTAATTTGGTTCTTTCGAGAGACTCACCTGGAACCCAGCTGAATCTGTCGTTTATGATGTTATCAGGTAAATGAGTGCATATTCGCTGATTTCGTGCAATTTGGTATCAAGTAGAACATAAGGTTGACGGAAACCCGGGGACCGCGCCTACATGATGAACCCCAAGAAGGGCGAAACCGGTCGTGGGCTGTCGACGGATTTTCAGCAACCTTATGAATAGTACATTGCAAGGATAAACCTGAGTATTGGTTGTATTAGGACGAAATCTCCCTGCATCGAACAGTGTGCAAACTTTAACCAATCTTCCAACACCCGTGTCAAAAGTTTGTCATAAGTTCTGATCTGTTGTGAAGATGCTGTTAAAAAGGACTAGAGAAAATCCATGACGCTGTTCGTAGTGTGAGGATATTTGGGGTTTTTATTTGTGAAGGAAACTTGAAAATTGTAAGCCTCAGCTCGTCCGAGTTTCTTGTTCATGGTTGTATGGCCCCACCGATGGCAAGAAAGTTCTGGACTTATGGTAAAGCACTATGGTCTAGGACGACAAGATCGGACGTAAGAATGAACTGTACTGCGAACTGTAAGTCGCAACGAAAGAAACTGAGCAAACAGTATCTACACGAAAAGGAAATACAATTTAGAATGCGCATCAAGCCAAATTAATTTTCTGTCCATGCAAATGTAAAAACTCCCAAGTTTTGGACAGAGCACTGTTGCGGGAAGCTCAACTATAAATGGTCTGACGCAATTGTACTAACGTTCTTTGATGGCTCAAGAAAGGAATCGTGATTAGAAATGGGGAAAATTTTACCTGCTAGTAAGTTAGCGCCAGGCGAGGGTTGTAGCTGCGAAGTTGTCGTACTCTCAGGCGCGTTGCCGCTTAATAACGGATCCAATGACAGCAGATCATCTAATCCTGTCAACCAAGAAGACAAATCAGTATAAGGCTTGCGTATATGACCATTATTCTACTGTTACGAAAAAGTGACTATCAAGAATGGTGTAGACACAGGAAATGGACATTTGAACGTACATCGTCCGAAAATGAGTAAAACCAAGACAACTTGCATTCTTGGGAAATAAACTTCCAGAGGAATAAACCGCAAGACTGGTCTAACAAAAACTGAAAATCCGAAGCAAAGGCTTAATGAAATAATCACTTGCTGGCCAAACATGAACAAGTCCAAAAATTACGTTTTTCGCTTGTGGATACTTGAAACTTAAAAGGCACTGACATACTCGACACCCCGTCGCCCGTTACTTAGCCTAAGTTAGTTTCCAATATCTTTTTTCGAGAAGATCGACAGACTACAACACTGAACTGAAAACTTACCGTAACTAGCGGGTTTAGATTCCGAAGTTGGAGCTGTAGATGCTTTGTTGTCAACGACGACTGGGGTGGGGGTGATGCTGACCGATTCCCCGCCTTCCGAACCGAGCAGATCAAGCCCAAGCAGATCATCTAGGGCTGAGCCATGTGACACGGGAGCAGGCGGTGGCGCTGAAATGATGAGAGTTGAGAAATATTACAGGACGAGACATCCAGCTAAGAGCAATGTAGGCGAGGCGCTGCGTGGTGAAAGTATACTTGGATTGGAACTTACCCGAAACATCTGCAGGTGGTTGCTGAGTGCTGGAAGATTCGAATGCAGCTTTAAAGCCTGACTGATCCGGTTGATCTGAGACAAACGGCAATAAAAGTAACGGTAAGGAATCCCTAGACCTTGGATGAAATAGTGAGGTTCAGTTACAATCAAGATTATCTGTGGAGAATCGCTGACTACACAAGTTGTCGTAGGCACTAAATTATCCATAGTATTAAGTAAGTACCACTTAGCATTTGAGTAACAACTTGAGTCGCCAAAATTTAGGAATATGTAGAACAACAACATGACTGTTCTCGTAGTTCGTCTGAGTTAAATAAGATTTTCACCTGGCTCACCAGCTAAATGTAATGGGAAGGTAGGACGTGCGAGAAATGGAGATAAAAAAACGTACCAGGAACTTCGGGCCAAGCCGGTGGTCCACTGGCTGGTTCGCCATCCTGCTCGTCTGCAGCAAATGGGCTCGCACAAATCGGTGAGACGCTTCCATCTTGCTGTTTCTCGTTTAGACCTACAGAACGGAATAGTAGTAGGATGGGTGACAAATGAAAGACTCGAGTGTGGAAATATTCGTCCTTATACTTGAAACCCCACAAACATTGATAAAATGACACTACTCTGGCGTAGCCCAGAACAACTTGCATCTCACGGAAGCTTTTGGAAGCTCTATGTTGTACATGGACAATTCAGCTTCAAAGAGAGACCAGTCCCAGTACGGGACAAATGTCCTCTCGGCCGTGACTGTCTGTTATCTAGGTGGCATGACTACTTCAAACTTTGCTGCACGTGTGGCGTTTGGAGGACATCTGCAAGACCGACCATCAATGGGCATATTGACCTGTCGAACAGATCAAACAGAACGGAACATTACGAACAGGATTCTATTTTGATTAGACAAAAAAAGTAGCCAGATCCCGAAGGTAAAATCCAAAAGTGGGTTAATATATTAGCTTAGATATCTAGCTATCCATGATGATCTACGGACGGGTTTGCGCTAATTTATGTGAGGACCGGCTGATGGCTTGCGAATTTAGGCCGGAAATATGAAGGTGCCTGGGACAATCGCGCAATAAATGTGGAAGACTTACTTGAGCATGCACGTATAATTGATCTCCCTTGCCTATTATGAGCGGAGACGCATTCAGAGCCTATTTATTCCGGCCAGCTTATGGTTGTTTTTGTTAAACTCACTGATAGTAGGATGCTCAACCATAGTGGACTCGTACTGACCATATAAACTTCCACAGTATTCATTTGTGAAATGTAAATACAATGGACGCTACAGCCCATGAATATACGTTACGAAACACGTGGTATTGGTGAGTTATAAGCACAAATCTATGTTTTCAAAGTGCGCACTGCAGTGGATCGCCCGACACCGGTTGTTAACAAACTCCGCCTAGTGGGAACAAGTTCACCATTAACTAGGCTGCGATTCACCCTGAGCAGATTAAACATTCATGAAGTGCCCAGCAGTGGTGTGAACAAGACAGGGACGATTGAACCTATGTTGCCATGGCACAACCACCTACCATGCAAAACGGCCAATAAGAGCGCTTCAAAGAGAGTGGACAATCACCGAGACCGTACCACTCACATCTAGCACACAAGCATCGCTTAGGCTACAGATGAGACGAACCATCGGTAGTCTTGGACTTACACCTTATTCTGTGCATTATGCCGAAAAACCACTCAGCTGCACGCAAAAATTCCAGTGCTAGATTCATATTGAGGCTTCAAGCGGAAATTAGGTTATATTTCGATTCAATTTTGGCCTTCAAGGATAAAGGTTGGCTTATTTTTATAGTACATCAGATAATGAGCCATCTATACATCACAGTCCGCTTGCGGTGACGTCTATGCTTCAGTTGCTCAATGAAAACGGATCTGCCTACTCACTCGCTCTCCCGCGCACTGTGTATTTACGTGAGAGTCATTGCGTGTGAAGACGGTAGTGGCCTAAGGTGTGTTCCACTAAACAGTTGTGATGTATGAAATACATGCTAAGAACGGAACATTCACCTCCCTCTACGCAAAGCAATCGTCTCTGTCGTACCAGCCAGCAGCAATAAAGATAATTATTCAGTCGTGGCACTCTTTTGGTGCCTAGCTGCCATGCCACCCACCACACAACCGCTGCTTGCGCCCCAGCCAGCAGCAATAAAGATAATTATTCAGTCGTGGCACTCTTTTGGTGCCTAGCTGCCATGCCATGCGAAGGTTGCACGAGGGCTGGGATACTGCCAGGTTGCCTCAGCCTAGACAGGGGAAGTCGAGAGGCAGAGGTCGGATTCGAACCACGGAAATTCCGCTCAGTAAATTCGCGCTCTGTCCACTGAGCCACCTTTCCCCCTACCACCCAATGCAAACCAACAAATCAAATAAGCTAGTGCATATTTACTCCAGTTTGGTTTCGAACAAGCGTACAACGGACCTAAGCTGAAATTACTGCCATAATTACCGGTTGACTACGTCGAACAGAAAGTTTACATTCCGCAATTTAAAGGCAGACAGTTTTGATAGCGACAAAACCGACGATCTGGGAAGTAATCTGATAAACAAAATCGCAAGATTTCCGGCGTTTCAATAAGTTATCGGTTGAGAAAACTTATCACGTGACACCAGATGATGACATTCCAAATATACCATACAAGGCAAACTGTTTCAGGTTAAGCACACCTTGAGGCAAGAGTTGGCATAGTGTATCAATGAAAATCGAACGTATTACTAAACACAGAGTTAATTGGCCGTAAAGCAACAGAAAGGCTGTCGTTGGTTCTAGCAAACTGTCTAAGCTATAAATTCCCATATCTGCATTACTCGAGAACGGAACACTGATTCGACTGGGTAGGTTAGCTCCAGTGCCGAATTTTTACTATAACGCAATCAGATCTGGCCCAGTGATGTTCAGTGACCGGAAAGTATGTCGGCTTCACCAGAAGGATCATGGGAATGGTCAGGGGACGCGAGACATCGGCAGATCATTAAAAGGGAAACACCTAATAACAATAAAACTCCAGAGAACTGTATCACTGGTTCTACGAAAGTCTATTCTGAAAGCAGCATGACCGATTATGGAAAACTCAATTCCTCTAGTACGTTGTCACGCTAGAAGAGAAGACAACACAGGTGCAATCAGCCTTACCCAGAAGGGATAGGTTTCGCTTTGACTGCGCTAGTTCGGTGCCGATTTCCGGGTTGGTGCCTTCAAGTTCACCGTCACTTGCTGGCTGATCGGGGACCGGTTGTTCAGGATGAGGACGCGGAGGTCGTGCAGGTGAAGGGCTTCTTGAACGCGCCGGGGATACCGAGTGAATCGTGACAGAACGTGGCTCGGTTTTGTTGCTAGAAAATTGTTAGATGGACCGAAAATGTCCCGGAGGGGGCAGTGAGTAATAATCACATGCCAAAACTTCGCATTAAACGAAATGGAGAACGATACCTTAAACCTTGTTCTATTTCAACACTACTTATCATGTTTCCCGAGGTAATTCTGAGGATAATTCACGGACTCGACACATATCGTTAAGTAACGGTTGGTCTGCAAACCATGGGCCAACCAAAGAAAAGAAAAATTCCCGGACGCCCCTCTAGTATTTCCAAGGTCTAAATCAACTATACCTATTCAGTGCTACATTTGACATCTCACACAGAGAGGAAATGTAGTTTTCAAAGAGCTAGCCCATTTGGGCCTTTGAAGACTGAGTGGTCCGCCGGAATCACGCTAAATGAAGGTCAAAAGTGACAAAAGTCCGGGTAAAAACACATTCTTCGTGCTTCTAACACCCCCCGCGCGCAGTTTCGCACCTTGACTTGCCGTTACTGAAGAATGACATGTTGTTGCATTGAAAGAAGCGCCCTGTAACGAAAACTGTTTCCGTAGTGTACATTTACAATAAAAGAACTGAGTAAATCATTTCTTTCAGAATAACCTAGCGAGGTGCAATACACTCATTGTGAAGCCTGAGCGGAAATTGTATCACTTGGCCGAGGAGCACAGTATCCTTCGAATTTTTAGTTTTCTCGGTGCCCATGCCTCATCAAAGGGGTACCCTTTGAAGTATAGTATTTAGGGGTAAGTTGCCTTTTAAAGAACAAATGGGGTGCTTGATCTTACCACCTTAAGTTATGCCAAGGCCCAGTGGTTGTGCACTGAGTTTGTCACATACAAAGCTTTGGTCCTTGGCACACCGACATCCCTCAACGACTCTTGTTAGTAGCCACTGGGTTTATAGAATCTGCATCCATATTACCTTAGTTTAATCAGTCCTCCTTCCACCCTAAAAATTGTCCTGGTGAGTTCACAGAGGGAGCGCTGAACTCGAGTTTTGCTTTTACTGGAGCTCACCAACAGTGGATACCATTGACTGTGGCTGAATTTTGACTCAGGGCATCTGATATCCGACATGAGCGAGTAACCGCTACTCTACCGGCGCACGCTTGGCAAGCCAAAATTCCGACATCTGCGTGGGCGAACATTTCCGCATTTTGGGCGATTATGACATCACTAAGCATGATACCGCCCTTATGCCAGATGATAGGCCTCGGTAAGAAGAGAGATATAGTTGGGGCTTAAAATTTGGATCTGATCCATTGTGATGGATTTATCACTAAACTTGTTGATAGAATCCCTCTTCAAGTAGAACTAAAACTTGAAGATGTGCGCATGCCCTTGCACATAGAAAGAACCAAGGAATCATGAGACTGCCCTCATCTCCCGGGTAATTTGGCTTATAGACAACAGTGTGTGACTGTGACCAGAGACCACGACAAGATCGAGTACGACAGACGAGAGGTATCCTAGCTCAGCCACAAACAGGACGAAACAAGTGACTGGCTGCCGACACTCCCACATCACGTATTGGCAGATGCATGAACCACATCTTAAAAACATCGTACCTTTCGAAAAAAAAATTGAAAAAACCATGGCTGTGAAAAACATCGTACTTTCGAAAAAAAAAATTAAAAAACCATGGCTGTGAACTTACCGGCCAAATTGTGTGTGGACCGGAGTGCTAATAGTCGTTTGCTGAACGGATCGTTTCACGGCCTCGTTGCTTTTGATGATTGAGTCGGAGAAATGATTCGTAGCTGTAGCAATGATTTCGGCTTGCATTTCTGACGGTACACCATCTGTGAAACACGGGGAATTGATAACGCACGTCTATATATGTACGGACATGTTACGGTCATGAGGAACTCTTCCTGATCAGAACGGTCATTAAATTCTTTACCTTCATCATTCACTATCACAGCTGGACATACGGCGGTCGCCTCTTGCTGATCTGCCTCAGGTGTTGATGACCTTGTAGCTTCTTGCTCTGGTTCTGTTTCATGTGAATGCACGGGTGTTTCATGCGATTTGACCGGGGTTCGTGTAGGTGAAGGTGGAACGGTTGGTTTTTGCGGAACAGCTGGCTTTACCTGCGGAAGTGGTACGGATACTGTAGGCTTTTTTGGCGCCGTAGGTCGTGCCGGGTGTTCAGTGGCAGTTTCATCTTCATCATCGGAGCTTTAGACACATGGATAAGGTTTGAAAATTTACAAAAACGTTTATTAGAATTTGGCCGCCCATAAAATAGGGATAGTGAAATCGCATAATACGTGACACTGAACTAAAATAAAATAAACGCTTGTTAGTGGCGCAAAGATAGGAACGATCATGAGAAAAGTGGGATTAAATAAACTAACCATCTGATTTGAAATCGTAAGGCTATCCCTGACCATCTCCTCGTATCCAACCTAGTGACATTACAGAATCCAAGTGACATTTATTTGGTGATCAGGAACACTTCGTGCCACTGTAGTGTGGACTGACTTGTTCAAGGCTGTGTTAAACTGGAGTGAGTTGTTAAGAATCGCCGTAAAACTGTTGTTTATTGCGAATATTCGTCAGAGAACTACCGCCAAGAAGTGAACACCGATTACAAACAACAAGCAACGCGGCGGGACTTGTTAGTATGCAACGTAGCAACAACCGCCATCTTTGATTGGTAACCTGAACCACAGTCAGGTTGGCTTGCTTCGTAAATAATCATGGTTTTAAAAAGTTATTTTACGGATTCAGTCATTCCAAAGTGTCTGACATAACTGGGGGCAACCGGATCTTTCCAACTTTATTAAAGTTAAGCGGATGGGCACAGAATGTTGGGTTCCTTCTTCTTGTGCACCGCAACGGTTGTGATGGCTAAGTGGCCGGCAAGCAGCTCCGTTATTACTTCGGTTTGATCCAACATACCAAACCGTGAATGGGACGCCAGCACGTAAACACGCCCCATTATATGGGTGAAAAGTCACAGCCACGTAGGCCCGTGTACCCACAAGAACAAATCTTAGCTGAGGACGATAGAGCTTGATTTTCCCTCCATTCTCCCGGATACATCACACTTTTTTAAAAACGTAGTCCTCTTAATTTCCAATTTATCTTGAGGAGGAAATTTGGAGCTCATAAGGGGAATTCAGAAGCTTTGCCGTTATATGTGGTTGTTGACAATTTAATGCAGTGCGTAACGTTCGTTGCTCCTTGGCTGAACAATACACTAGTGAGCAAAAAACATCACAAAATATCATTGAACGGGAATGACCACTGTTATCGCCCATATGTATTGGATTTTGCGCGCTTGTAAATGTACGGCACGTTCTAATCCAGCTGCGTTATACTATCCCTCAAGAATCAACAACGTCGGCGCCAAGTGTGTTGGGATATCAAAGAAAGTGGAACATCAAGAAAGGCACAACAAACCTGATAATTAGGCATAGCAGAGTTACTGGACATTGCTTTCAATGGAATAAATCAATCAGGAGAGAAATGACACTTTAACACAATCTTGGGAGCATGACACAGAAAAATGTTGGGAACCGACGGATCAACCCATTGAATTAGAACTACCAATAACCTATAGGCCAATTAGCTATTTACGAACCCTGGGGATCAACAACACATAGTTCGGTCACATACCCCTTTTTGCTCTCTAAAATTGCTAGATGCTGCTCCATGGCCTGAATCACCTTAGGTGGAACCTGGAATGGAAAGGTTACCGAAAGAAATAACGTTAATACATGGGGAATAAAGTGTTTTAAAATATGCGAACTTGAATTAGTTAGCAACGTAATATGTAGTAATCATCCTTGTGTTGTTACGTTAAATATACCATGCCTCCACCAAAATTGTTCGGTCAAACGAAGAGCTAAGTTGAGGCGTTCGACTGTCACATTTTGGGGCAAAGCTGTTGTCAAACCACGGAAAAAGCGCAAGTCAAGGTCCCGTCAGTATGTTCAAACATAGATGAGTGCAATAGGAAAGAGTCAAAACCATGGGTATCCCGGGTTGTTAGAAGCTCTTTACTCCCATTTAGGTGGTTTGACACGTGCATCCCATTGCTATTTGCTGATCAAACCGCGTGAATTCTTGATTTACATAGTGAAACCGCACCTCACGGAGTGGGTGTTTTGTGGATTCCCTTTTTGTCAAGCAAATATTTCAAAATGCCGCTCGCTGAAATACGTTTCGGTTTGCCACAATAAAGTCGACATGGTTAAAAGTTTTAATCAGAAGTCCAAGACTACATATAGAACATTGATTTCTCAGAAATGGGTGCAATTCGGCGGCTTTTATCGGGAACGAACGCAGAAAACTCGACTGTGGGTCAATTTTTACCATGAGTTGCTGTTGATGGAACAATTGAATCGTAACTGAAGTTCTCGTCTATGATACTCTACAACTGAACGTGCTGCACAAATGCCACTTCATTAGTTATGAGTTTTCGTGGACCCAAGTTGTATTCGCGGGATTCACTCATTTACTATAACAAGTGGCATCTTCCTTACTATGGGCACTGTTTACTCCTCTTAGTCCCCTCGACGGTACCAAATCTTCAGCAGCTTACTTATTCACGGAAGGTATCGTTGACTAGTTCATTCACAGCAGAGTCCAGATAAGTGTCTTCCATCCACCATCCATTCCACCTACGTTGGTCTCAAAGAAGGACGAACATCAACGGAAATTTCTTCCGAAAAATGCACTTAGTAGAATCCAACGTACGTAGGGTGAACTGTCTAGGCCGGCTGTCTTTCTTCACAGAAGGGCGCAAAACGATGTTTAATCATGTTTAGCCTTTCCGTCACGTTTACGCCCGACTGAGTTGGGTGATAAATGGTCCATATTTTATTCAAGATTCCAAATAGTATTTTAGGAATATCCTTTGCCATAAATCACAATATCTTGGCGGCGCTGATTGGATTATGGTTGTCTACATCACATAAAAGTTGTAATGTGCTGGTTGCTGGTCTTAGTACGGATTCCTCCCACATCCCACTGGATGTCATGTTAGTAGCAGCATAAGAATAGGGAAATCGGACAGCCTCACGGATAAACTTATACAGACCACAGTGAAATAATTTCGACGTTCAATGACATTGTATTTTATGAATTGCGCGGGACAGGTCTTCGCCGCAACAATGGCATCCCGCGAGCGACAATTCGACAGATATACGGTTAGTGGAACAGCGCCAGCTGTTTGTCAGCACTTTAACAGTGCGCGACCACTAATCTTTATGTCGTATGCAGTGAGCCACTTGTGAAAAACCAAATAGGATGGAATAGGCTTGTTCGATGTTGTGGTTATCCACCATTAAAAATAAAAGCCGAATCCGATATCGATCACATGTGGCCTTACTTCCGGAAAATTTACTCTTCGCGCATTCATTCAGGTTATCGCCTCATCATGTTGTTTACACAGACGCGTTCCGTAAGGCTGGTTATCAGCGAACCAATATAGTCGAGGAACGTAGTGACAAGGCCAGTGAAGCAGTAAGATGATTCGATTGACCGATTGCAGGTGACGCAGTTAGATTTCAGCTGACACAAGATAAGTCCTGCAAGTTCAATTTTTCCAACCACGATAAATACAAGCTGATGATATCCCTATTGAGCGACAATCTTGTAACTGCGGAATGGTTTCCGTTGCAATACTTTTTGAGGATAGGAACCCATTCAAATCAAACAAGCGTCTTCTAGTTTTTACCCATTTGTACTCCGAGGAGTAACAACACAATGGGAATACCCCATATTTTTATCTCAGACACATTACGACATTACTATAAATGGATTGCGCAATAACCATAGCTGACTCGTCAACGCACCACATAATTGCAGCACTGACTTAGCTTGACTTGGTTGATTCGTTAGCCTTGGATCAGCGGACAAAATCATGTGTTCAAACAGTTCACAGTTGCAAAATCTTCTGAGAATATTAAAACTGACGGATACGATGGAAAACAGCTCACAATATTTCGATACCTAACGAGTCCGTAGTAATTACTGGCGCTTTTGTTGTTATGAAAAACCACCCTGTCTGGAGGTTGTAGTTCGAATTTGTCTATCTGAATCCTGAATGAAGGGGGCGAAGTTCCATTTTGCGGTAAGGCGAGTCATTCACCGAAATATGACCCATCATCAAGAAGACTACTGTAATACATCCAGACACACGAAGAAAATAAGAAAAAACACCCCGATGGAGGGAAAATTCCACCGCATTGGGAGTTGAAAATTCAGACATCGAGATGGCTGACAGTGGGTGCCGTCAGGCGCCATCATCCACAACACATTGGCAGCCCTAATCAATATTACAAGGTTCACGGAACGTTACAGTAAGTTTTACGTGGGGAAAAAGTATAGCCTCAGTCAGTTTTTCTTCTCATGGATGAGATGTTTGCATGTGCAATGTGTAATGCGCCTATCCTTCTACCATGAACATTCGGATGGGAGAAGGGAGCCTGGTATTTCACAATCTGTGGAAAAACCAACGACTAACTGGGAAACCAACGAATACGAGTTAAGAATGTGACTCACTGGCTGCAAACCAAGACTGTCCTTGTCCCCGATTCCCAAACTCTAGAAGTAAAACAGAACGGAAAATTCAGTTCGAAATGAAAACCGAATTTACAACCGGATTAAATGGTCACAAAAGGACAACGAAATAAATTCGGAGAGCATGCTAAGTGCACCATTAGCACAACCATAGAACTAATCTGTTTAAAGTGCTTTACGATTTCAATTTTAGAAGAGATGAAATGGTTTTAGCAATGTGGTAACGAAATCCGTCCATCAGCAGCAGTCGGCGAGCAGGGGTGTAAAAATAGGAGTCCAAAATGGAGCACCATAGACCAAAGGTCTACACTACCTTCCGCAAGATTAGAAAACCGATCGACTGCACGTGGTAGTTGATCAAAATGCATTCTTAACTGAATGGCGGGGTGTTCAGACCCCTACCCAGAAGGCTGATGATTTGTGAGCCCTGCACTGCAAATAATTCTATAACGGGCTAAAACAGCTTTTCGCCTAGCGTAAGGGAGGAAATTCAGATATGAAAATTTAGAGTATATCCGCTACTTATAAAACGCAAGTAATCTGTTCAGGAAGAAAAAACATATCACTCATCAGTTAAAACCAGATGATGGCAGTTTAAAGTGTTTGAATGATGAGTGCGGCTAAGTTGTTGTTCGAATATTCCAGCAGTTTCGTGACAAGCGCAAAGCTGATGACTTCAGCACGTGTGAGTGTCGGTGGGTGTTTTTAAGCTTGACTTACAAAACTCTGGATCTGAAATTTGAACATGCTCGTGGAACAATGATGTGATTTCGAACCAGATCACATGTGCTTGACCCATTCCGATTTCTGCCGATTTCGAGGACTCAGCCTTCTCATGTCACAAAGCTTAGCGTATAAATGTAGCTCCCGTGAAAAAGATTACCTCACGGCCTCCTAAAAGTGTGTTTAAGTTAACACACTGTTTCCAAAGCACAAAGTCTTGACATTTCAAGAAAACCTGAAGATACAATGATCGTTCCAGTCCCACATGCCAGTACAGTCACTGAAGTGCTGATATGCATCTAGTAAGTTTGCGGAACCCTCGTTCAACTAAGGGGCGGTTGTTGGTGGGTCGTAGACTAGAAGGGTTGAAACGTGAAAACTCACGACCTGGTAGTGTTTTAGCATACTGTCCTCGGTGGTCTTCGTTCATCTGGTGGAGCAAATATGTTTACCCATAAAAGTAATGAACAAGAAATAAGATTTCGTTGTTTAAGTGGGGCGCATTGGTGCTTGCAAAAGGTAAAGTGGAAACAAAACTCGACGATAAAAAATATGCTAATAAACTTCTCATGCCTGTTCGATCTTGCATTGAGGTTGATCAAACCCTACAGAGGTAAACTTGATATGAAAACTCAGTAACAACAGCCTGCGACAAAGCGAACCGGGTTGGAAGAGGGCTGGCGCCCACGTATGGCTCGTGTTCATACACCACACTAAGATTGCAGTCGGTGAAGAGCACATTGCGCCAATTCGTTGGCAATCATAGCTTACTAGCGTGCAGTGCTCAGTGTAGAAGAGATAAAGAATGACTTAAGGTAAAAATGTTAAGCAAACAAAAGACAGGCGCTGGCCCCGCGGAACCAAGTCTCACATCACTTGTCTCTAGATTATGTGGGGATTTTAAAGATAACATCGTGAGTGATTAAAAGCACACCCAAATGTGTTTCCCACTTGTTCAGGTGTCCCCTGTAATACTTGAATCCTCCCCTCAATGCTCAAACCCACCGGGCTACCTCAAAGACCTGTGATGATTAGTTGGTGGTGGCGACTAAGATACATCTACGCTAAACCCCCAAGATAAACGATTAGATAGACAAAAAGCGCCCTTGAACAACGTCCGATCAGGATCAACCTTCAGTCTCATATTGGGATATAAGGTCGCAAACTTTTACAAGTTTTGTTCAAGGAAAGTAGTGGGCTGTGACTCATCGACACTGCGTTCCTTGGAGTTGAAGAGGACTCTAGGGCCATCTATCAAACAACAAGAGACTGAGGCCAGAAAATTATTGCAATATAGCTCGCTGCAGTAAACACAAATACCCCTGGTGCGTTTGCTTACCTCAGCAACTGACAAGAACTCCGTGAGTTTGGCTTGTAAATCGGGGAAAGCATGGTACAAATCCAGGCCGGCACGACACTGTTTACGCCTCAGGGAGAAGTACTTTTCTACAGGGTAACAAAAGCAAGCACAGCGAAAAGTTGACCAGAGATAGGCTGTGAGATGACAAGCGAAACAAAAGCAGTTACAGTTATAGCTGTGAGATCTTCCTGCCTCGATGGCTCGAGCCCACATGAATGCCGTTGCATGTGGGTGGAAGCTCCATAGGACATGGAACATGCTTCTGCCGAATTCGGAAATTCCACTCGATCTCAATACCCACCCACCCGTTCAACCAACCAACCAGTCCACTTAAAAGCTGTTTGAATGTTCGGTTCGACAGACGAACAGTGCTTGTGGTGACATTTGGGGGCGGGAGGGCAACTCAACGTACAGCAATTCTGCAAACTTAAGAAAATAAAGATTAGCGGTGGACTGATGTCGATGCGGTTACTGTGACGCAGAGAGGAAATGTGGAAAAAATGAGACGTTCGGTGTGGCAGACACTTGACTACAGCCCGTCCACTCAGTTCGGTAGTCAGCCTAGCCGGAGATGTCCAAGCCCAGTCGTTACTGTAACACAGATAACCATTGAAATACAGGTCTACAATGCATGGACTACATTATGCCTTACACCGCATCGGTTTGAATTCTTGTTTAGGTACAATCACAAATAAAGAAGTGCAGCTAGACATACAGCAAAGATATGTGCGATAGTTTGGTTTAGAAATATCGACTGTACAGATGACGGAGGCACGAACGACCGTACTTATAAAGTACAGGTTATCTAGTGTGAAAACTGAGACTAAGCGCACGACTGCATATCAATTCGAATCCCCCGGAAAAAAAATATGATAAAATCCCCACTGAACTGACCGAGCGCCAAACCTTTCTCGGTAAAAATATTTCGGCAGCGCTTCAATGATGATGTGCACTTTCGATACTGGAAACAAAACTGGCAAGAAGCGCAATTTTACGGCTCGACATGAAGTGAGGTATACGTCAGTAGAATTCAGTTGTGAAGTAGGAGGCATCATACAAACCGCCATTCTGTTAGAATGCTTTCAAAATTGTCTCAAAATATGGAACGTAAGTGTGAAGAATAAAAAGGACCTTTCTTTTCAGAAGGGATTGGTAAACAACCGGTCGTTTTTATTCGGGCAACGTTTCGCTTTTGACGCAAAAGCTTCATTAGGCCAAGTGAGCAGGTCACCAATATGGCCAGGTCTTGAGGCAGACGGAGAACCAATCAGTAAGACCTTTTCAGATTAGCACACTAGATCAGTGTTGAATGTCAATTAAAGGGTCTTGCCGGTTAGTGTGGTTGACTGAGTCTTGTGGATGATGGTTTGGGGAGTTCCAAATTATTTTTGATCGAATCACTGATAGGAGAGCGAGTGGTTCGAACCCAACCTTAGCATCTCGATTGCTCCTGTCTATGCTTATGAAATCTGGCAATATCTTAGGCCCCACGCTTCCCTCGGAGAACATAGCAGCCAGACACCGAGTGTTACATTTGAACGATTATATTAATCTTTATATCGATTATTCTCGACAGTCCAACCAAGAATCAGAGTACAACCATTCGGTCGACAGAGTATCAGGGGCATTGGGTTGTTGTTCAATATGCGTCATGTATGGCATTAGTGTGAATGGGGCAAAGAGTGAAGCAGAAAGTGGAACCTTCATACTGAATTCAGGTTTCTGTGGAGGGTGCTGAAAACAGAAAGTGCATATTAACTGTATTCCGAGACGTACAATGGGACCGCGGCAACCAACCCAGATGTTGTATTCCACAGCGCTTTGGAGAACAAACAAACTAAAGGCTCATCCAGGAAGACTCCTGACGCAAATCACAAGCGACTTAACTTTCACAGCCCGTCACCACTAAGTGGTTGCTTAAGGTGCGACGATAAGATCAACAAAACGACCTAGGAGGCCGGAGTACAGGGTTAGGTAAGAGTTTTACAGCATAATAGGATAACCTCGCTGGAGAAAGCCTAGCTGAATAACGAAATGACCTTTCGATGGGAGTCGTTTCTTCTGGGTAGAGATGACAAGTGAAAACCATAGCGAATGGTTTCTACACTAGCGCAAAGCAAGTCATCTGAGGAATTCGCAAATTTGCACTCGCTCTCAGTTGAACAATCCTTCTCCCGCCCCAGCATGATAAATCTGGTTGGTCCACCAGAAAGGGCAGATGACAAGTGGCGGGTTTCGCGATTGGTTGGGGTCATTAACAATAACTATTCTGTCCTTGCTGGGATTCCGACTGCTTTTCAGTGTGGTTGACTGAGTCTTGTGGATGATGGTTTGGGGAGTTCCAAATTATTTTTGATCGAATCACTGATAGGAGAGCGAGTGGTTCGAACCCAACCTTAGCATCTCGATTGCTCCTGTCTATGCTTATGAAATCTGGCAATATCTTAGGCCCCACGCTTCCCTCGGAGAACATAGCAGCCAGACACCGAGTGTTACATTTGAACGATTATATTAATCTTTATATCGATTATTCTCGACAGTCCAACCAAGAATCAGAGTACAACCATTCGGTCGACAGAGTATCAGGGGCATTGGGTTGTTGTTCAATATGCGTCATGTATGGCATTAGTGTGAATGGGGCAAAGAGTGAAGCAGAAAGTGGAACCTTCATACTGAATTCAGGTTTCTGTGGAGGGTGCTGAAAACAGAAAGTGCATATTAACTGTATTCCGAGACGTACAATGGGACCGCGGCAACCAACCCAGATGTTGTATTCCACAGCGCTTTGGAGAACAAACAAACTAAAGGCTCATCCAGGAAGACTCCTGACGCAAATCACAAGCGACTTAACTTTCACAGCCCGTCACCACTAAGTGGTTGCTTAAGGTGCGACGATAAGATCAACAAAACGACCTAGGAGGCCGGAGTACAGGGTTAGGTAAGAGTTTTACAGCATAATAGGATAACCTCGCTGGAGAAAGCCTAGCTGAATAACGAAATGACCTTTCGATGGGAGTCGTTTCTTCTGGGTAGAGATGACAAGTGAAAACCATAGCGAATGGTTTCTACACTAGCGCAAAGCAAGTCATCTGAGGAATTCGCAAATTTGCACTCGCTCTCAGTTGAACAATCCTTCTCCCGCCCCAGCATGATAAATCTGGTTGGTCCACCAGAAAGGGCAGATGACAAGTGGCGGGTTTCGCGATTGGTTGGGGTCATTAACAATAACTATTCTGTCCTTGCTGGGATTCCGACTGCTTTTCCATAAAATGCGAGAATAGCGTGATGTCACTACTCCAATGGTGCACGCTGCACCAACAGAAATTTTCACGTATGGACCAAAGAAAATACTCGCACTCTGTCTGGCGATTGGTTTGCGCAGTGACCATAGCAATGACTCACTAACTAAAATCGATTTGTACCTGCTGTTTCTGATATTTGTTACTGAGACATCTAACAACGTGGACCTGCATAATGGGCATCATCCCGTCAGCTACGTCATCAGACATACGATAACTGACTTAGATTTACCCAGGCAAAATTCAGGTAACTGTTAAGAAACCCGATACGAGTTTAAAAATTGAGCATTCCTCAATATAGGTCCCATTACTATCGTCTTCACCCGATTGGACAGATAGTTCACCAAACCACGTTATCAGTTTGGTAAAGTAAGCCCAATTCAGTCCATAGATAATAGGTAGTTCAAAAGTTTTCTCAGGACCGAAAACTAAAAGGATAGAAACTTCGTTGAATCTGAGGATATGAAACAAAGTGGAAGCACCCGACGCTGCGTCGTCGAGTCAGGCGGGAAAAACACTGTTGAAAACGCATGCAAAGAGCTTTGTTTCTGGTCGCACCAAGTCCCAATCAGGTTGCGAAATTATGCGATAACACCATACTTGATAGTCATACATTGCCTGTGAAATAGCAACATGTACCAATAAAGCCAGTCACCACGCACAACGTAGGGTATATTGCATGACACAGTAATGGTGTAAATAACGAAGAGGAATTCGAAAGTAGAACACAAAAAGGCGAGCAAAAAATACACAAACAGAGAACCCAGTCCAACAAGACATCATAGTTCAACAAAGTCGAACATACCAATCAGATTCATCATGCCCTCGTTGTAGGAGGCGAACAACCGTATTAGATCCTTGTATAATAGCAGAAAAGCGGCATTAATTATTGCGTTGTTCAGATCCTTTTCAAGTGCCTAGAGGGAGAGAATGAAAGATTTCATCTACGCATTAGACACATTGGATGAAGAGCAATAGGAATACATACATCTGGTTGCAAATGTCTTGCGAAATGACAGACTTACGTCAAATTCAAGTAGCACACCGAGCTGTTCGGAGAGCACCGGAAGCGCCTTTAGAAGCTAATTGTGTTGGTTAGAAAAAGGAATCGACGTTAAACGGGAAAGTGAAGAGTAATAGAGAAATATGCAAAATATACACAAAACAAATATAGACATATGAACCAGTGTCGTATTAGTGCGACGGGATTTTGACAAAGCCCGCCTCTTCCTCACTGTAGCGCGACGTCAACCACAGTGTAGCACCTATGATGATGGTGCTATCATCATGGCGTGGTGGATTACCAGCTGACAACCGGATTTTCTCGAAATGATCCACAGTATGAATCACTACGACGCATGACAAACACTACTCTGCCATAAAAAGGTCTCATATATTATAAGAACAGAAGAGATCCTGTCAGTAGGTGGTGCTGACGAGTCGGTGTATCAGTCGTGAAACGGTCAGTGTCAGCCATCGAACCCTGCTGTTCTTCGGGCCGCATTTGGACGTGCAGGTGCAAGAGAAGCAGACCCAAACTATCCCAAGACCCAACAGTCTTCACTGGGCTGCATAAAGGCTAGAGCCGCGTGTTTCGAAGGAATCCGTGCTATACTGGAGGGACCATTCGAACACAAATCCTCATATTAGTCTATGATAATGTCCCAAATGCAGTCAATCATGCTTCATGGACAGTAATGATATGAGAAAACTGGAGCTGACTTAAAACTTTCCAGGAGAAAGTCGTCCTAAAATAGGCGAAGTATATAGTGTGAAGGGCATTCTTCTGATGCAGACTGTAGGTAAGTAACACCGCCTGCAGCTGTCGAATTCGAACCTACCGACTGATTTTCGCCATTCGATTGCATCTCCATTTCGGTACAAAATACTCAGGCGTGAAAGAAGTATTGAAATACGTTTCCAACGGCTGTCTCGAGTGAGTTTCCTTGAATATGACGATAAGCAACCCCACGTCCAGTCAGACTCTCCTTACAACAATGAAAGCGATTTAATAATTCAGCTGGGTACTACTGAGTACTACTAAAGTGTCATGCAATTGACAATGTATAGGAACCGAGAACTACTGTTTGTCACATGGAAAATAAGGACAGATGCGGCGAACCTTTCAGAAATTCTGCACGACAAGTAGGTTTGTGCTGCGCCATGTAGTGAATTCTGAAAGACTTCGCCGTATGCTATCCGTAGTGCATTTTGTCAAAGCCGTATGCGTACGTCTCGGAGTACACTACACGTGGCTTAAACCTAAACTGGAAAATACGTACAATCAAGGAAGCAACACGGAGTTGCAGTACCTTTAAGCTATAGATATCAGTAGTCACTTAACGACAAGTGAAGTGCACAAGCAGTACAGTTGCATCAACAGTACTATCAGCATCGACAGCCCAATAACACTGATGCTTCACTGCTGTACAGTCGTAATCGACAGTGTCAGCATTCACGTCATCCGAATTTCAAAAGAAAACTGACAAATGCACCATCTCATTTTCTAGAAGTATCCAGTTCAACGGAATGGTGCACGAAACGGATAGTTTGTTTGGGTGGATGGATGGACGGGTTGACGACAGGTCTAAACGGTGTCTACAGAGACAATGATCGACGAGCACAGAGAGGAAGACAGGACAACAGCAGTTACCTTCTCAACTGGCATGGTTCGTAAAACACCATCATCTCGTCTATCAAAAATCGTTGCAAAGTGGAAATTAATTCAAAGGCAGAAGTTAACACAACTGGACACAGCTTGGTAAAGCCAAAGGTAAAAATATATGGGGAAAAAGTGAAAATTAGATGCTTCCACATTTTCTCTTGTGTATTATGCCCAAGGAATGTTTCATCCAGAGAGATTTTTCCATCCAGAACGGATGCCCACTGGACTATTTTTCAGTTGTTATCACGCGTCAACAAAACCGTTTAAACTAGTCCAGTTGGCGATCTTACTCGACGAGTATCGTGAATTGTGTACATATATCCCTGAAAATCGAACAATCAGTTAGCGAAGACAGCACAGTTTAAATGTCCCAGAGTACATATGTGGTAAAAATTGATGGCTCGCTGTGCCCATATGATACACCGTGGTGTCTTACTTTCGGTCGGCTGGATTACTTAAAAGTACTACTTTCTTCAACTGTGTGATAGTCGGCAGTTAAGTGATGAGGAAAGGACTGCGTTGCCTCTGATGCCCGACTCGCTTTCCACTGATACGTGCTGCGTTTACGAAATTGGGGTCGAGGGCTCAGTTATACCCGTGAATGCAAGAGATACGAATGTACAAGCGGACAGACTCGGCAATGCTGAGGCCCAACTAGATTGTTGTCTTGGAATGGAGTCAGTACGAAATGAAATAGAGAATGCCTGTCGCTACTTGGTGCCGACCACAGATGATTCCTATTTGGAATTGATTTTCAAGACATTGAAATCGTGTGCCTACGTGGTATGCCTCACATGCGAACTCGTTTAAAACGCAGTTACTACACCACTATGGATAACATGGATCGGTCACCAAACGTCGCCCGTTTTCGGGCATTTTAATAGACCCAGCTCCGGCGCTGATCCGTTGCAGCTTTCCTTTGTGTATCTTGGAGGCTTTTAATAAAATGAGAACATAGTTGTAGGATGAAGTGTTTCGTACAATCCCACTCGCCGTAAAACATGTACAAATGGGCAAAATAGGTGGGTTTATTAGTTTCATCGAGAATCACTTGGATGCATGGAACAAGTTGACTGCATAGGTAATCACTCCAGAAAAAAAGCCGATTTTCTTTGGATTCCCGTACAAAGGAGATCAATCCTGGTGAAAAAACATGCGATGTGCTATTTCGACGGACAGCCTATACGGCTCATCTCACGTTGAAACCACGTGCAGATCAAAATACCAATTATTTTTATCCGTTTTCAATCGTATTTACCAACTGATCTATATCTGCGGTGAAACCTATATCGGTATAACTGATAGAGGACTTGAGATGCTGGTGAAGAAATATGCGCATGACACTGCTCAAGTTGATTGGAGGAAATCAGTGTTTCAAACATCGTCTGCAGGCTGGAAGCTCATAGACTTATAAATATGTTTGCCAAAATCATTTTCTGTAGTACTCCTAAGCACAGAATCGAATCTCCACTGAAAGACAATTGCACAGTCAATCAACATCTCAGGTGTTCTTCTCGTGGAACACTACAATCAAATCCGTCGAGGCACTGGACCTCAGGAGGGACGTACCCTTACTTGAGCTTTGGGAGCCATTCTCCACCTAGTCAAGAATTGCATACCAGCGTACTTTTAGATGTTAAGTACAGACCAGCGTTCGTACTGACCGGGAAGCTCCGTAAAGACCGAGAGCTCAGAAAACGAGGCGAAAAAATTCGGGAAATATCCGAAAAATGTCCCTGCATATCTGTATAACCAGACCAAAGAAATCCATCCGTGAGTGAAACCACCATTGACAAAAATTTCTTGCTCATCCCCAGCAAAGAACAGCTTCTGAATCATTCGGTTGGACAATTCAGCAACAACTGAGCTGAACATCGATTGCCCTTCAGTCAGACTTTCAATGGTAATAGAATCACGGACATGGGACATCCAACAGTCTCAGAGATATATGAATGCATTCCCCCTCTCGAGAGGCCATCGAGCTGCTGGTTTCGACAGACCACAAAAGCCTTGTCTGAAAATGTATCCAACTAACCTATTTGTCTGACTGGGAAACCACTGCTCCAGCAGGGATGAACTGAGATGATCGCCTATTTCAAACAACTGTTCGTAATGGAAGTAGCAACTACGGGGTTTTCAGCCCGACTTAAGCCGTTACAAGACTTCCAGTTTCACTTATTCTCCGTCATCTCACAGTAGCAAGTGAAGTCCTGACCTGGGAAAAGCACGAAGGGTTGTTTAGACCAGATCTGCATTACCAAGCACAACCAAGTACTGACTGGGACAGCAGGCTACGAATAGGCGATCCATGGTGCCAATATTCTTTGGTTTCAATGGCACGTTTAACTCCATAGGTCAAATCATTTCATCAATCACAACTATGCAAAAAGACGTGCTTTAAAAATTTTGTATATAAATGAGTATGAGCCTACGAAGATCATCAAAAGCTTCCCTGTGGACAGTGGTGTGCGACAAGGAGACCTGTCTATCTTCGTTCAACGTGGTCATGAAATGAGGGGGACGCTAGTGTCTAAAAAAACCCATTTACATAAAATAACATACCGAAACCCTTTCAAACCGGAGAACTCAGACAGCACCGTTCCTATCTTTGAATAGGAAGCAGCACAAGGGTCAGTAAAGAGGTTGTTTGGAGTCACTCCATCCTTCGGCATGCGCTCTACATTGGGACGTAATTTCGTTTTAGATCGAAGAGACGGACTAAAATCAACGTTCCTGTTTTGGAACCTGTGTGTTATCGCACCTTGAAACAGGGCCTTTGCGACCTCAGGATCTGAGGAGTCTCTAGGTATTCGGCGATATTCTAGATCCACAACTGGAATGGGCTAGCACCAATGAACTCAAAATGACGTGAGTATCAAATGGAGGTTCAATGATATGACGATCAAATCCAGAGGCAAAAATGCGGCGGCTATGACACGCTACATATTAGGAGTCTGTCAAGAGTAATGTTTTCCACACATAATTTTTGGAGCGGCGCGCAACGTATGGCTTGGAATAAGGAATGAAATAGATTACAAAACGTCCGAGTGTTGCAGGTAGGACTCGGAGATGAGGTTGGCGTGTCTCGGCCTGCGGTCCTCTGGAATCTTCGCAGGATATGGAGACTAGTGGTTGCCCCCAAGTTTCTGTCCAGACTGAGTGAGTGTTTCAAAGCCTGAACACCACGCACGGTTGTATTGAGCCCATTGAACCCAGTTCTATCTCCTTTACACACTAAAGTTTCCCCCAAATAAGACTAGGAAACTCTGATGCTTCAGCAATGACGTTGTTGTCGATAATTCCCAGTATTTATAGGCATTTCTGAGCAAGCATAATTCGGAGATTAAGATAATCCATGTAGATCTTACAAGTAGTAATAGAGTCCTTTCTTCCTACATGAACCTTTATGGACGACGAAGTCAATCACTCTAGAGAGGATGGACTCACCGAGAGTGGATCCAGAATTCGATTTACACTTCAAGTGTTCCGGAGTATAATACCACTCTTCATCCAGCGACCAACTACTGGACAGGAGGTTGGTTTGCATTAGGAAGGCTACCTGATCAGTAAAGTCGTTCCTCAACAACAACAGACTTCGAAGTTGGGCGGCTTTGAATTTCGCCATTTTACCGATTTTTTGTTTCGCTCTTTCCTGCCTTGCATTACTTTAGACATCCATCATTGCGATAATGAGCTGAACAAATTGCTTACGTTATCAGTTGCACAGCACTATTTTTGCCGTATTACGCGTCTTGAACTTGATACCGAATGAGAGATGAACTAGGACTGTAATGCAGGAACCATATCTTAGGTTCAGATTCAACGTGAAATTTATCATAAATTTACCATACAATCTGAATGACAGTGTAGATAAGCAACACAATGTTCTGTTAACATCGTAGGTTAATTCGCTTGACATCTGTATCCAATCATCCTTCAAGACTCACACTCAGCATCATATTCCAGAGGCTCAAGTGGATAACAAATGAAAAGTGCCATTAGGCTTCACCGTTGGTAAACATGCTTTAAGTATGCCTCACCTACATGAGTCTGCATGCAGTGTCGAGTTACATCAGAGTGTTTCGATGTTTCCTGATACACACATGGAATTGTAAATAGTGGTCGTTCATTTGTTTGCTGATCTGAGCTGGGCGATTTGATTGCAACCAAATTAATCAACTCAGCGAACAAACGAACGACCACGCTACCTGAGCTACCGAAATTCTCCTCAACAACAAAAAATAGTGGCCAAATCAACCTAATGAATGATGATGATGATCGTTATACGTAACTGAACGCTGTGTGTTAGACGATGTGGTGGTTACCGGACTGTTCCTCAGCGCTCGCTGTAGACTGCTTCGGAGCAGATACTATGGGCTGATAACGGTACGTGTTGAGCAAGGGTTGACAGTAATCTTGGCTTAGTGCAGTTTCATAATTGTGTTGCTCTTCGTAAGAGGTGTCATTCTACACCTCCGTCAAAGATATGATAAGCGAAAAACAAGTCCAGTAAACAAGCAGTGGCGCTCTTTGTAAAGACTGTCATAGTCATTGGCGGTAAAACCGGAGGCTACTGATGCCTCGCTACCGTACAATTTATTTGGATAACTCTTGGTTATACGTGGACTGGGATACTACCAGGGCACCCAGGCCTAAGCATGATCGGCATCATCATCATCATCGACAGCATGACATCGGTGTTCAGCAACGATGCTTCACTACCGTACAACCATGACGTAT